AGGAGAAAAAAATGCGTTCACTAAAGATAAAAGTATATAAAATTATAAATAGTAGACGAACCCTACTAAACTTAAATTAAATAATAAATTAAAATAATGCTATGTCAGAAAATAAAAATAACAAAAAGGCACTCGCCGAAAAATTAAGAAATCATTTGAACGCACCGGAATATGTGGCGGTTCCTGATTTAATTAGAAATGGTGATTATGGCTCCGGTTTATCCTGCTACGACGGGGAGAATATTTGACAAAAGAGAAAATTTATTGACTGGGAAAAACAATCAGTTTTGATTAATTATGACGATTTGGAACCTACCGATTGAAAGGAAATAATTAATTTAATTAAGCAACGAAACGAGGAAAGAGAAAAAAATTATCAAGCCAAAAAAAAGAAAATTGAGGAAAAAGTGAATAGCCAACCCGGTTTATATTACTATTATGGAAGTGGGAGCAAAGATGACCGCAGTAATTCTATAATTGAATATGGAGATAAACAAGGAAGATATTTTGACCTGTGAGGAAGCGAAAATGGCCGGAGTTTTTATTTAAATATTAACGCCAAGCACCCAGTTTTAGATAATTTTCCTTGGGGAAAGCACGGATATTATTTAATTGAAACCGACAAACCAATTGAAAGAAATGATGGGGTGGTTCGTCCGCGAAGCACTGGTGGCGAAGATAATCCCAACAATTTCCACAAGTGAATAGAAGTTGGCGACCAAATTACGATTACTCCTTATGAAGTTGAAAATGAAAATGGATTGACCGAAAATCAGAAAAAAGAATTAGATTTGGAAACCAAAAGAAAGGGTGCTTGTGATACTTGCCAGAAAAAATTGGGTCGGGATAATGGAGGTTCCGACAATTTTTACATTATTAAGCGTTATTTGGGAAAGATGAAAAATTCAGTAAAATGGGCTTGTCGAGACTGCTATCCAACCAAAGAGGCAGAATATTTACAAAATTATGCGGGCATTTACGAAAGATTTAAGGATGAGAATGGAGAAATTGACTATCGCCTAACAAAAGCCGAATGAATTGACTGCTACGCAGGCAAAAAAGACCAAAACGGCCAAATATTAAAACAAAAAGATTGTTCGCATTGTCAACCTTGAAAACAGCATGAAATTGCTAATCCCAACAACAACGAAAAAAATAAACAAATTGCCACTCTTTTACTCCGCTATTTCCAAGAACATGATATTAAAAAAATTGAACTAAATAATGGCGAATTAATAATCACGCATAATAATAATGATAATAATGAAATTGTTTCACGAGCAGGGATTAACTACGAACTTAAAAATGTCGAAAATTATCTGGTGAAAAAAGGCGAAAATACGTTAGAATTACAACAATTATTAAATGAACTCAACTCCTCGCCAAATCCTACTTTGGCTTCTCCCAAAAAAAACTATACTCCTTACCTAATTGGTGGCACGATTGGGGTAGGTTTAGCGGCATTAGTTATAATTAGTTTTTGATTTAAGTTTAGTAGGGTTCGTCTACTATTTATAATTTTATATACTTTTATCTTTAGTGAACGCATTTTTTTCTCCT